TCCACTGATTGGCTTAAAGAGGAATGTTCATCAATTTCCATGTTTGTTGTGGTTGATTGTCCTGGGTCCTGTAGTGGATAATGGCTGGGTGTGCTGTGACCTTGGGTGATATATTGTACTATAAGATTTTCATTTGGTGTTGCGCTGGTAATGGATTGATTGTCACTATATTCAGGAGTTGCTGCATGAGAGCTGGGCTGATTGGCGTTGTGTTCAGGGGTGCTTGCATGTATTGTTTTATCCTTACAGTCAAGCTGCATGCTATTGTCATTGATCATTTCTCCAATTAGAGCAGGAGTGTTTGGAGTGGATAAGGGTAATTTAGTTTTTCACTCCAAGAAGAATGTTTTGGCTGCTTCGTTAATATTGATATCAATTTTGTTTCAAAAGATTTGGAGCTTGTAAGTGAGTTTCTGTTTGATTAATTCCTTCATAATTCCTGCTTTGTCATTGTCAGATAGGCTGAAGGTATGTTAGTATTCAAAGAAGGAGTTTATTGTTTCCAAGGACATAGAATTTAAAATATTGATTTTGATTTCAGTATAGTGGTTTCCAAGTCTTTTTTTGTGTACTTCAAAGGAGACTGAGATTACTTTAAGGACTTTGTGACCATTTTTTTGTAGGTATACTAGTGTTAGCCATGTTTTAGGAAGGTTTTCAAATTTTAGGAGATGTGTGTTGGTAATAGGATTAGTAATGTATACAATATTGTTATTGTTATCTTTGTGAGAGATTATAGCCAGGCATTTGTCATGTCGGTAATAAGGACATCAAGTAAAGTATGAGTTGGTTCGATAAGTTGACCCTTGGAGAATGAGAAAGACCCTTCAGGATCCTTTACAGTTTTTTTTGAAAAAAAATTTTTTAATTGTCTTTTTTGATATTTTTATTCTGATGCAGATTTGTTTGGAAAAAAGTTTTTTTCCAATGTTTATTACTTCTCTCCCACCCTGGATAAAATTGTGTAAACAAAAGTTACACCAATTTTAGAAAAAGAGCTCGTGTTAATAAAAAAACCTAATTAAAAAAATATTATTTGCCAAAAAAAGGCCTTACCTTTTTTACATCTATATAAGAACACATTGTTGTAATTTGTCTTTATTACTAATTAATGACAATAATAATAGAAGTATATATGACATATATGAGGAGAGAATCTCTCTTGCTATATAACAAAAATATGTTTGAAAAACAGAAAAGAATGTCTTCACCAACCTGGAAAAAGAAAAGAAAAATCATGATATTAAGATGCCCAGGTTCAGCAGTAAAAAAAAAAAAGACCCACAATTATAAATAGAACTTTATAAAAAGATTGCAAAAATGAAAGAATGGACAAACAATAAAAAACCGAGAAGAGCAGTAATATATCTGAGAGGAATTGCTGTGGACTGGTATGATAATTATGAAAGAAGTTTTGTATCAACATTCATGCATCACTTTGCAGTATTAGAACAATGACATCAGTGGCAAATGAATTAGAAAACATAGAACAAAGAAAAAACAAAAAAATATTCAAATATATCTGTATGTTTGAGAGGCTACTCAAGAAGATCTACTCCAATAAAAACTACTATAGAAAATCAACAAAATAGCTAATTGTGACTGGATTGAGAAAGGATATATTGTCTTTACTAGTTGTAACAAATGTAATCAACTCAGAAGAAGCCCTAAAGATAGCAGTGAAAATTGATAATAAAAAAAGAAAAATGAGTAAGATAAAGCAATTAGAGGACTGTGTACAAAAGTTACAAAATAAAATATGAAGAAAGAAGGTTGTGCTGGAACTAAAACCTATAAGAGGAGACTGAGACTATTATAAGTATGAGAAAAATTATGATATCCATAGTTACTGAAAAGAAAAACTAATAAGACTGAAAAAGAATGTCTAATATTCTTTGATAATGACGAAGGTGAAACATTGCAAAAAGCAAGTAGTAGTTTCAACTCTGATGATGAGATACAATCAGAGATTCTAGGCTCTGTGACATGTTTCTCCCAATTGGAAGAAATGCCAGTGGCAATCGAAGAGAAATACAAGATAGTTAACTAAAATAAGGAGAAAGAAAGGTGAGTTAGAAGACTGACATGGATCAATAAAAGAATAATTGCAAAAGCACAAGACATTATAGTAATGAAAGAAACATTAACAACACATAAGAGCCAGAAAAAGATTGATGAGAAAGAAAATAATAAATTGAAAGGACAATATAAGCTAATAAAAACAATTGCAAAAGAACTAGACACTATATAAGAAAAAGAACTGCTAATATAATATGATGAAGATGAAAAAGAGATAACCAAGAGGGAGACAATGTTAATAATCACTTGGGAAACACAGATGCTATAAGATAAAACTTCTGTTCAGATTCGAGTTAGAAAAGAAAAATAAAACAGATACCAGTAATCTCATTGCTGAAGATGTTGAGCTCAGAAACAAAGTCATGGAATTAGAACAGAAGCAGACATAAAATGATAGTATACACGTATTAGAAGATTTATTTTCACGAAGCATCATCTCATATTTCTTTCAATATTCATACATACTCAACTGAGCTCAAATCATCGGAAAATAAATAGATCGATGGATTTCAGAATTTAAAAGTAAGGGAAGAGTTAGTAGCGAGATAAAGCACCGAAATAGAAAGAAGAAACTTCAATATTAAGGCCTATTTTGGCTGGCCATAAGAAAAATAGAACAGATAAACTCCGACATGATTATTCAATATTTCTTTAGAGTCAAGTTCACAAGATCACCCTATATCAAAAATATTAAACCAGACAGATCTTAATTTCGAAGACAGCCTGTCCCAAAAAATTGAGAGCGTAGATAGTTCTGCGAGGTGCATTGTTAATCCATTTGACATTAACGAGGTATCATAACATTAGCCGGTTTGCGATACTGCCATAGGCTAATCAGAAAGAAATAATATGCTGATCTTTTTATGGTAGAGATTTTAAATTTCAAGTTAGTGAGATGAGTAGTAAAAATATTTGACGAAAAAGAAGAAAGAATCTTGATTTATAATGATATTGAAAATCAACTCAGTATTCTTCATAAAAAAACATCACAAGATTTGGGCTTACAACTTCCAAATATATCTCGATATTCCTTGCACAAAAAACTCAGAGCTGTAAAAATTTATAGATTATTCGAAAAGATGGGTCTAGATAAAAATAAAATGTATTAAGAACTATAGTGAAAATTCTATTTACTGACGATTAAATCCAAAAGATTATTAATCATGGTTCAGAGAGTTAAATCTATGATTCTTCATCGCTTGAGACAGGCCATCCTGGAATTTTTAATTAGAGTATATTATTTTTAGAAGATAAATTAGGAATGATTTCGAAAAGGTCTTATTTGCAACCGAGATAGATATATTTATTATCTGTATCACGATACAAAAAGGTTTAGGTAAATGTACCATTTAAATCTCAAATGAATAAAAAACCTTAGCTGAAAACTAAATAATATGACCCATTACCGAGCTATTTTTCGCAATATCCTAATCTATTATGTATTCAGTAGTTAAAATGTTAATTTTTACGGAATTACTCTAATTGTATGATCGATATTATCGAAAAAAGTAAAATTTAATTAACTCCCTTAGATTTCAGTAATTTCCACGAAAAAGAGAACAACCGGAATCACCAAATGTTTGTTAGTCAAATTACGAGCCCCGAAAAAGAGAAGAAACTCTTATTTACCTTTGACGTTACATGAGTTTCTATAAATGCACATATATTTATACATGCATCTATTATTTACATATTTGCATCTATTTACTATTCTATACTATTCTAATAATTCCAACATCTAGATTTACTCACCCATTCCTTCCATAATACTGTAATACTAATGATATAATATAACATACTGTATATTACATTACCTTGACTATTTTTTAACTCATTATACTATAAATATCTTACTTGAGATTTAAATAAACTATTTTAAAGAATTTCTTTATGCTTTATATCAATTTTTAGCTTAATGAATATTTCGATTTTTTAAAAAATTTGTTTATAAAGTTTACTATTGAAATTCTCTTCAATTATTCATAAATATATCATATAGTAAATAAAATTTTTTTGTATATTAATGCTATCTTTATTAAATTTGGTTGTAGAAATTATAAGTGATCCTTTAAAAATTCTGTAAATTTTTTCTAGTAATATTTCCATTCACTCAATTTCATAAGGTTAAATTTGATCTCATTAAATCATAACATCATACTTTAATCTTCAATGGGCCGATAATTTCTATAAATTTTTGCAAATTCAAATTAGAGTACAATTTTCTTGCTATATCTTGATTTATTTAATTAATTGAAAAAATTGTAACTATTCGAAACTTTATTATAATTATCTAATGTTTTTATTAATAATATATTACTATACTTACTCGTATACTGTATACAATGGTTATGAATACGACTATATAAACTAGCATTTACAAAACCGATAAATTTAAAACGTGAGATAAAAATCTATAAAAATCTTAAGGCGCTAACAAGAACACAAAAAAAGAAAAAAGATCAGTTATACTGCAAATTGTTTTTTCGCAAAAAAAAAATTTGTAAAAACATAATGAATGTTTGCAAAACCTATTTTCAAGAAATCATTCAACAAAGATTTTATATAAAAATGCACTTTGGAGTTTACAGTCATAATTAGATCTTGCGAATATTTAATTATAACAAATTTAAAAGTTGTGTTTAATACAATTAATCAATTGTGTGTAGTGTTTATAATTATTCCTTATTGTAATACATTACTACTGTAATAAAAAAAGTCATTTACTGATAGAATAAAAGAAATCTATGTAGGAAATCGTTCCCTATTACAGTACAGCAAAGGGTGTGACTTGGAGTCATGTGAGCATAAATCATTCCCAAAATGACACTTGTGAATGTACGGAAATTTCGTTATAGAATTTCCTATTTAACGCAGTACAGTATTCACCATCGTCTACAAAGATTGCTAAGTAATTTGCCAAAATGCAAATATTCGGTCTTGTTTACGAAGAGGTAAAACCTGTTCCTTTACAGAATGTCAAGGTTGAGGCAAATGGTGAGCTTCCAAACGATATCCTTGCTACAGTACATCAAGTTTAAATATAGGTTACATGATGATGAATTCATTTTTTCTAGTTGTTGACATGATTGCGGAGATTATTATTCAGCAGACCTATAAAAATGTTGAAAATAATTTAATCGAAGCCGTATACAAGTTTCCTATTTATGAGGCTGCGGTAATTTGTGGTTTCGAAGCTGAGATTGATGGGGGCAGAACAATAAAGGGAATAGTGAAAGAGTCTAAAGAAGCTGTTAAAGAGTATGATGCAGCCATTAAAGTATGTTGTTAACACGATAACAATAATGATTTCTAGTTATTAAACGAATTTGTTTCATACAAGTAGCAAGGTCATGGCGCCTATTTGTTGGAGGAAAAACTTGCCGATGTGTTCCAATGCACTGTCGGAAACATCGCCTCTGGCCAGACTGTAGTGATCAAGATAACATACATCACTGAACTCAAACACGATGCTGATTCTGAACAAATACGATTCGTCTTACCTACCGCGATTGCCCCGAGATATGGTTCGCCACATGGTGACAATACATCCATCCAGGAATCAATATCTTATTCGAGTTCAACCAGTTATCACCTTGATCTTAATGTAACATGCAGGATGACTTCATCCATTCAGACAATCGTGTCTCCTTCACATCATATTTCTACTGAAGTTAATATTGATGGAGATCCAAAAGTTGCAAAGATTACATTAGCCGAAGGTGTAACTTATTTAGAAAAGGACTTTGTATTGGTTGTTAAAAGTTTGGACCTTGATGTGCCAAGGTATTACTCGTGTAAGAAAATGGGGGGTTTTTTTTCGATGACTAAGTAAAAACCCCAATACTTTTATTTATCATAGGGCGTTCGTCGAATATAACTCTACAACCGATACCAATTGTGTTATGCTCACTTTGGTTCCCAAATTTGCACTTAATGAAACCTTGGTAGAATTAATATTTATTATAGATAGGTAGAGAAAACTTTTGAAAAATTCTTTATGTAGTGTGACACAGATTACATGTATAAAAGTATTTATCTAATTATAATTCAAGATCAGGGTCAATGGGAGGAGAGCCTATTCAAAAAGCGGCACAAACTCTTCAATTATTGCTTCGCTCTCTTCCAGAAGGCTGCTATTTTAATGTGGTATCGTTTGGTTCTCACCACGATTCATTATTCCCGCAAAGTCAACTTTATTCCGAGGTCACCCTTACTCGGGCTCTCGATCATGCAAAATCCATGGACGCCAATTATGGCGGCACAGAAATATATGATCCACTAAAATGGGCGTTCGAAAATTCTAGGTTTGACATGCAAACATCTGTTTTCCTTCTTACTGACGGTGAAGTTTGGGATGTCGGGACATTGGTGGAACTTATTCGCACCAATGTTGAGCAAAAGAAGGATCAACTTAGATTATTTTCTATTGGAATTGGCAATTCTGTATCTCATAATCTTGTCGAATCTGTTGCACGCGCTGGAAAAGGCTACGCTCAGTATGTAACCATTAGTGAGCGTATGGATAAGAAAATTATAGGTATGCTAAAGAATGCCATCAAGCCTCCGGTTAAGGATTACAAGATTATCTGGACGGAGAATGAATCCGAATACGATGATCTTGATAAGAAGGAGGCTGAGACAAAACCAACATTCGGCATCTTTGACCAAAATCATGATCCTCCTTCACAGGATTCCGTAGTTACAGATGTCAAAACCAAACAAGCACCATTTGTTATTCCACCGATTTACTCTGGCGTTAGATTTATCGTTTATTGCATGCTAGCAAAGGGCGTTAACCCAAATAAGGAGATCATGTTAACCGCACATTCTCCGGACGGACCCATGAAACTCAACATTCCTTTAGACCCAACAATGTTGCAAGGGTCCAAAATTCATACACTTGCCTCTAGGAAACTTATCCAAGATCTCGAGGACGGTGCCTCCTTTATTCACAAGCATCCAAAGAACAAAGGAAAGTCAATCTCAGTTTCGGTTATAGAAGAACAAGTAGTTTATTTAGGAATAAAATTTAACTTAGCATCAAAATACACGAGGTAATAATCCATTGATTAGCTTTGCATTACTAATAGTTACAGTAATTTAAATTTTGAACTTATTTTCGACCATACCGTGCCCAGTTTCCTTGCAATTGATCAAAGTGATAATAAGTCAGTTGGAAAGCTGATTCATCCTGAGAAGAGAGAAGTGCCTATACACCGATCATTTTCTTCATTCAACAGGATTTCTCAGCAAGCAACTTTATTATCTTTATCGAACAGGAGTTCTTATCAATCAGTTTTATCAGATTTCAGCAACTCCTTTGTGAGATGTAGGTGAATCTATTTTTGTGTATTTAATGGATAAATGGGCGATTTTTAATTTATTCGAATTCCATTAGCCACCAGTTCAGGTTATAGTATGAATCGGGACCGTCGAGACTATATCCTGAATGAGGATAGTCTTCCCATGATTGCCAGTTCTCCCAGTTCAAGTTATAGTAGGAATCCTGTCCAAAAATTGCAACGGGTTAGCGCGGAATTAAAGACCAACTTTAAAGAATCAAAAATTGAAGTATTGTACGAGTTTCTTAAATTCCAGTCCTTTAACGGTGAATTCAATAGCGCAAGTTTTTATCTGTGCTTCGGTAAGAAAGAAGCTAAAGACTTTAAAGAGATTGGCGTTGATAACGAAAAAATTCTGTGCACTGCATTAGCAATCGAATATTTGGAGGTTGTGATGTTTGGGCAATTTAGGGAAGAGTGTGAGATGTGTTGGGAAAAAGCTAATAAAGCACTGAGAAAATTAGTTAATGAAAAGGAGTTTGACGATGTTTTGAAAAAAGTCAGAGATTGGATATTAAAGTGGGTAGAAGCAAGTTAACATTACATGTTTGATACAGTATGCCGTTAGCATGTAATTGCTTTAGAATCGCTCTTACTATCAATTACTGTAATATCATTATTATTTTATCAACATTTGATTTTCATCTTACAAATAAAAAAATTTAAGAATTGTTCAAGTTTCATTGAGTCTAACTATTTGATCTTTTGTTTGTTGATGGCGTAAGTTACCATTGAAAAATAAACGTGATGCATATTGGATGAAAATTAAGTGGGCAATTTATTAAAGAATGAATGAATGACTCTTGAATCGATCAAACCCTCGAATTATCATTTTTGACAAGTTTCCAATGTTCGAACTTACCTTGACAGGGTCGATTAGTTGAAATACTTTATAAAGGAATATACGTTTCGTTGTTTTTTTATTAATAAAATAATTGTAGCTAGTACAGGAAAGTATAAGAATAGGATGTGCACTTTAGTCATCAAATAAATTTATAGGGCGCCAATGTCTTACACTTCGCAATTGTAGAAACAAACGAGTTTAGGATTCTGCAATAAGCTCACATTGTACTTCCTTTTACTGTATAAGAAGTATCATGAATTAATAGCGATCCTTCAAATATTTACGATGTTCGAGGAGGTGAATATAGGATTATGGATTATATTCTAAATTTTTTCTTTTTCGGATATCACCGATATTCGTTTTTATGCTAACAGCATCATTGACTGCTTGTTTAATAAGGAATCTTATCGCCTCGCTATCTTTACGCTCTGAGGTTCGACAAACAATATACAGTATCAATTTCTGTCACTAGACATACTGTAGTACCGTATATACATATTCTCTCTGTCATCCCATATCTGAGCGTCTGTGGAGTTCTTTAACAAAATCTATTGTAAAGTGGTTGTAAAATACAGTAATAAGATAATACTGTAGTACTAAAATTGTAGGTCATTAGCATTTACTACAATATATTAAATTTTTAAAATTTTATTATATTTATTAGGGAAATTTTATTTACTGAAAATTTGGATGATTGCTGTATCTTTGAAAGCGACAAAAATATGATCTTGGTCCTTATTTGAAATAATATGTGTATACTGTAATTGATATTTTAGGACCATAACAATAGAATCTAAAGAACCCCCTGCCTCCCCTCAAAAGTAATACTGTACCGCCAATTTTATTCTTACATTCAATGATAGAGACCGCATCCACACACTCTAAGGATTTATTATTGTTTAATAATTAAATTGGATAAATTTCTATCTATAATATATAAGCAGAGTCAGTTTAATATATTCCGAATAAAAAATAAAATGAATAATAAATATTATTTATCGTAACAATGTGTAAGAAAAAATTCACTTGCATAAATCGTTTCTGTGTATCTGACAATGTCATCGGAGCAACGCAATTAATTAATTCAACTAAAAATTCTCATCATTTTGCCATCTTCAAAAGTTCCGCCAATTTCTTCGGCAAGTGAATGATTCTTTGGATTTCTATTCCAACATCGTTCAATATTAGTTTGTCGAAAGCTATTGCATACTTGAATTTGAATTTGAACTCGAGATTCATGATTAAATAGAATGACTTGTCAGAAGAAAACTCCCACGTAATTATGCAAAATGAGTAAATATCTGATGTTAGTGTACTGTATATTATGAGTCACAAAGAACTTCAGGCGCAATTCCGTATCAGTCTATACTTCTTGAAGTTTACTGCGCCATTAAGGAATAGATCCAAACGTAATAAATATATTTCATCAATAAGAATATGCATTAAACGCGTAAAAAAGTGATCATTGATAAACGCGCAAAAAAAAGTGATCATTGATAAACGCGCCTGAACTACTTCTCATTTTATTAGCAACAAAAAAATTGTTGGTTTATTTCCCCTTCGAGGAATGCTACTCCATAATGAAAAACATCAAAGAAATATTTAAAGGGGCGAGAATTTTATTCTTCCAAATACTACAATACAGTACATAGGTTAGACTTTATTGATCCTCACGTGTAAGTTAATTGGTATACGTTGCTATTAGTCACGTAATATACACGAAAATATATGTTTTGCTTTTCGATTCTACTGAATTGCTGTATGACATAACGATAACTTTTTTTTTATAGAAAAAAACAAAATTATATTAATGTGCAACACTCTTTCGAACGCACAAATTGGAGAGCTTGCCGTCAACCAACACTACGATAGAAGTAACGTTAACTTATTTTCACCCTGTTTCAATTTATTATTGTACGTATAATAGTATTATTGAATACTTTAGTCAATCAATAATAGTAAAAAAAGGAATGGATCAAGTCGCAAATTTTGCTTTTATTTTTCGCAATAAAAAGAAAACAAACATGACAATTATTTAATAACGAGTGACAAATATCTTGTTCTAACTATCTTGATACTCTGTTTAATGTTTTTACATAATGATAGCGTATTTTTTTTAAAAAAAAAAAATTATTCTACGATATTTAATTTAACTAAACAAACATTTATTTATTTATTAAACATGTATAATGTATATACCAGATTTATATACTGTGAAAAAAATATTTGGTTTACAATATTTTTCACGATCACGAAATTGATGGTTAATTTTAGTTTATTATCTTAACAAATTAGTACTTTGAAATTTTTTTATTTTGATCAAAACTTTACTACTGTAAATAATATTACAGTATCGCATTTGGTTATCGATATTATTAATTTAAATATAAAATAATAAAAATAATTGTGGAAAAAAGCAATGATAATTAAAATAAACAATCATAATATTTATTATAAAAAAGACAAACTTGGAAATTGAATCTACATAAATTTTTTTTTTTTTTTTTTTGAAAGAATTTCATTATTCAAAAATTTACTTACTTTATAAATCGCATTCACGGTTACTTGGTTGAATATTTTTTATATTGAATTTTTAATATTTTTAATATTTAGGAATAAACATGTGCCTTGGTTTAAATTGTCAATCAAAAAATAAAATAAATTCATTTATTGTATTGTAACGGTCGTCCGCGAACCTGTCGCTACAAATTAACGGAATTCGCGGACTGTTAATTACGGTAGGTGTTCTATAAAGTGTCGGAATAAAAATAATTGATTTTTATTAACCGATTCGTTCAAGCCCTTCTTAAAATCGTCTTACTATATTCTTTTTATACTTTAACTATTGCTAATAGATGCAATATCGATTATATTACATGATTTTTTTTCACAACCGTCGCGGCGATCGAAGTAAACAGCAGCATACTGTATACTGTAACTATCGATTTTAATATAGTATTATATGATGACTTTTTTTTACTAAAATTTATAAACATACGACATTTAGTACTTACAAGTAAATTTTTTATAGTAATTTTTTTTAATTTTTTCGATACTCTACGCGCTAATATATATTTTGCAAAAAAAATAAAATAAAATAAAATACAGTTGATATTAATTTTAATCGTTCTCTTTGTTTTTAATCCCCTTCGCTGATAACTTTGATAAATAAATGTAAGGATAGAATTTAACTAGAATCTTTACGATTCTTGGAATCTAACATTTTACTTCAACGATATCATTGTCTAATTCTGGACGCTAGGTCCTTATGTACCGGTGTTCACGAAAAGAACAACCTTCAGCATTTCTTTCTTTATGACACATTATACATGTTTCTCTACATCCAGCAATACCGGCATTTTCGACCACCTCTTTTTCACAGCATTCGTATATTTCGGTACAACCTTTGCTATTCTCGTCTTTACCGCAACATTCATAAACAAATTTGCAGCCTTCGGATTCCTTATCTTTTCCACAACAGTCATGTCTTTCTTTACATGGATTCAGGGAATTGCAACAATCATATATCATTTCGCATCCTATCTCATCTAATGACTTGAGACAACAAATGTACGAACACCCTTCGGAATCAGGATTCGCACCGCAACAATCATATTGCTCGACCTCCAATAATTCTGGGCTAAACAGCGCAACCACCAATAATGAAAATCCAAATAACGAAAATTTATAAATTGTTCGATCTTTTTTAACCTTTTTGATCACAATATTTCCGCTATGGATCTTTGTAGCACTAGTGTGCATGTATTGAAGTTCTCCTAAATGATATTCCGAGACGCCTGCACCTGTATGATGTACTCTTTTGCTACAGGTTTCAGGATGGATGTAATTGTGCTTATCGCTGTGTGTTTTTTCAAATTTGATATGACATTTAAAATTTGCTATTCTTGGATCTCTGTCTTCGGGACAATTAAGGCATCCGACACCCCGAAGGACAATGGTAACCGGATGTTGAACGTGCTCTCTCATAAATTCTTGGTATCGCACAAATATGCGTTCCGGATCAGATTTTTTATATATCCTATAAGAAACGATGATTAGTTAACATTTAATGTCAAGATATGTGTGGTATTGTATGGCATTTAGATGATCCTACCCGTATTCTCTGTTCAACGCATAACCATCCACGTTTTCATATAAATTTCTTGCATTTCCATTCATTAGTTCAAAGAAGCAAATTGGAAATATGCCGGTTCTTGTCAGTGGGTCTTTTTTTTGTCGAGAGGCAGCACGCACAGCTTTCAAGGGGCCCTGGATGGTTTTTTTCTTGTGATCTTTTCTTTCGATTACAATGATAACATTGTCCCACACATTTCCTTTGTGATATTGAGCGAGAGATTCGATGAACAACGCCTGGTTTTTGTAAATTTGTTCCGACTCCATTTCATCAGAAACAAACCAAAGGATTGTTTGAACCTGCGAAATATTTGATTCATGCAGCTTTTGAACTATGTCGATTCCAATTTGGGGATCCACTCGCGTTGTGCCAGCGTCGTTAAGGCCCGGCGTGTCAATGTAAAGATATCCATTTTCACATTCGTAAACAGTTACTTCGCGAGTCGCAGATTCGGAAACAATACATTCTTTTGTACTATATATAGTTCGAGTAAAACTTTTTACATGACTTGTTTTACCAATTGCAAGGATACCTTTCAGCATGATCAAACGAACAAGAT